TTTGAATAAAATAATATAATTTGCCTAGTAGGAGGGATACAAAGGAAGTCCCCAATGGAGACACCATATTTTCCCTATGTGCTTAGCAATTCAGGTGTAGTCCAAACTGTATACCCCATTCAGCAGGCCTGCCTCTAACCAGACCTGTATTTCTCAGAATTTATCAATCAGAAATCGCTCTTTAGGCATGCCCCCCGCCCCCCCCCGCTCACTTATCTTCTCAAACAGACATTATCTTTTCCTGGTAATACCAGACTCTTCCTGAGAGAAGTTCTCCTCCTCATTACATCTTCAGGAATGTTTAGTGCCTCTTATAATTTGTCATCTGGGAACGGCCAGGGCAGTCCCCCCCACCCCAACCACAACCACAACCAGGTTTTGTGTATTCAGATGCTTTGGAAACAAATAACCCTAATACAGCTGGCTTTGGAGGTGATAGGAAAGAGGTGAAAATTAATAATATTTCCATTAATCCACATGGAAACATAACATTAAGGGCATCCTCTATGGTTCTGGTGTATACTCTGTCAAGAATTCAGGAGGACAAATTAATGGGAAGTGGTGAGGAATGTCGAAACCAAGAAGATTCAAGAGAGTCTTCATTTCTCTTTCTTCACATCAATTGAAAACCAATGATTTTTTTTTTGAAATGTCCATTTATGAATAATGAATACTAGGAAAGGATGGAAAATAAAATATATCCCCAACCACCAATAACTCTAACTGTAGTTCAACCATAAATGATTGACATAAAACTGTCTTGTAATGGAATGGATGCTTTTGTTGCTTACAAATGAGAAAGATTTTTTAAAAGTTTTTCTGTGGGGACTTACCAATTCTCATAATTTGCACAAAGAAATTTCAACTTTCTGAACACAAAATAAACAATTGGCTAAGCAGAAAAAACCACTTGGAAGGAGCAATCACATTCCTTCCACAAAGTAAGTGGATTGAATAATAAAGGGGTAAAAATAAAATAATTTGGATTCTAGTTTGACCTATCCTTCTGCAAACATTTTTCTCAGTAAATACCAATTATTTAAATTTTTGCTTTAACTATTATGATGAAATATTTGTTTGCTTGTTGTATTAATTTCTTCCTCATTCAAAGAAAAAGAAAAGCAAAACAGAGACAAGCCTCTTCTTATGTAGAAAAACTAGAAAGTAGGATTTCCTGTTCTATATTAATGTTTTATAATTTATAGGCAATACTAACTACATATTCTACTCCCCTTTTCCAGATATTAAAGGAACCCTCTACCAGAACAGTTTGATGGATTCTAGTGAGGTAAATGAAGTATACAACTGATAATCTCTGAAACACTATGCACTCCTCATAGTAACAACAATAGTTTGTATTTCTATGGAATCTATTTTGACAGACTGCTAGATTTCCTTCTGTAGATAAAAAGCATACTTTTTAATAACATCTCTGTAAGTCAGGCTGATTTTGCTAATATGGGATCACAGAAAGGGATGGATATTACACTGGAAGAGGGTATTAAGGAAAGGAAAAGAAAGATGGTTTGCTTGCAGTCTCCACAACCTTTTAACAAAAACTAACCAGTTTTTCTCTCCATAAAATTTATTTTTTGTAATATTTATTATCTAGTGAGATGAAGTAGGAAATTTCTATTTCAAATAAATAAATGACCAATACCCTAAAAACAAATGTGTGACTAACACCCACAATGAGTAACATAGCACTAATTTTTTTGTATTTTTGCTATACACTGGAAACCAATTCATTGTACATCTAATGCTTAACATCTAACCAAGCATCTGGGAAAAGAGAAACTTAAGAGATTATAAACCACAGAGTACTATAACTAGCTCACTAACAATGACCTCCTTTTCCATACTGGCTTAACATTTACAAAGCATATTTACATATATTACCTTGTTTGATATCTTCAATTACCCCAAGGTAGCCTGATTATTCTTGTTTTACATGCAAATAGATGAAGGCATAGATTGGGAAATTAACTTGACTGAGGTCACATGGTTGGTAAATAGTCAAGAGTTGAGCTAGGGTCATCTGAATTCAAGGTCAGACTTCTTCCACTTCACCATGGTTATCTTGCAATTAATAATGTCCAGGATAGTCAAATCCAATCTGTCATTATGACATAGAGTTGGTCCAAATAATAGTCAAGATAATTTGTCCTCTAATGCAGTGTTTCCCAAACTGTGATCTGTTTGTATTAGAATCACCCAAGATGCTTGATAAAACCAGAGATTCCTAGAGATTTTGTTTAGTAGGTTTGGAGCAATGCTCTGGAATCAATGTATTAAATTTACACCCTGGATGATTCAGATAATCCTTTGGAATTGTTATGGCCCAATTTCCATGGCTATAATTTAAATCTTGCGGATCCAATTTTTATTATAGTTTTGTCTGTGTAGACTTCCTCCTCCTATTTCTTTTTAATTTCAGAGGCTATAAATGTCACCATTATAGGAAGAAAACCCTTCTGCCAACCTTTAAAGGCAATGTTCAGTTTATCATGAAATGTATTGATAAAAGATAAGACAAATATTGATCACAGCCCAAAATGCCATAGGCTTTCATGCTGAGGTGCTTCAGGGATTTGATATTTTGATCCACTCTCCTTCTAAAAGTGGGGTTTCCCCTTATTTCTTCCACTGCTTTCTCCTTCCTTACCAGATATAAACCTTGAGGGAGTGGGTGATAATGAGACTAATGTTACTGTGAATCAGGTGGGGTCACTTCATCTGCTAGTTACTTAAGTACTTACTGATCATTGGTCATATATTTGTGCAAGTTTCTTAAGAAAAAGGAGGCAAAGAATATGAAGTCCCATCAAAATATCTTTGTTTTTGGTGCTGTTGTGATCTGGAAAATCTACATTTTGATGACTCCAGAGACAATAACAATGTAAGTGAAATGAAAACTTATAAACTAAATCTTCCACATGTCCTGAAGGTGCTGTTTACATAATGAATTGATAAAGTCAATATTTTAAGCTTGTCCATGTCCCATTACAACTTGTCTGATTCAACTGAGGGAAAACTGAGGGCTGAGATCTGCAAACAAGGAACAGGATGCTCCAGGCAAGGCCATGGTCTCTTCTGAGAGGCTGATATGCTGGGCCGTAGAGCACACTTCATGCTTTTATGTATGCCAACACAGGCTGGAATGAAGTGTCTAGGGTTGTAACTACAGTGCTTGTAGAAAGCTTCCTTTCAAAAGACCAACCAGTAAGCATATTCAGAGTTTTTTCTTGATGGGTGTAGTCCTCAGTTTCCTTATCTGTTAATTGGAAGTTAGAAACAGTGATATTCTCTCTCTCTCTCTCTCCCTCCCTCCCTCCCTCTCTCTCTCTCTCCCTCTCTCCCTCTCTCTGTCTCTGTCTCTCTCTCGATGCCTACTGGTCTAACATTTAATAATGTTACTTTTATTTTCATTTTCACTTATTCTGTCAATATTTTTAAATCACCCACTATGAACTAAGCACAGGTAATATAGTTGTGAAAAACATAAATATTGTCTCTGTCTTTATTCTAGGGATGTGAGGCAGGAAGGGGACAACTAGAGGCATTAAAGGACTTATTACATGAATAATTTCTTACAATTGTGATGCATGCCATAAAGGGAAAATAGAGGCAGGCTGCTGTGACCTAGTGAGGCAGAGGATGATCAGGGATGGTTTCCCTGAGCAAGTAACGTTCAAGACCTAAATGATTAATGAAATCAGGCTGATGAGGACAAAGAGCAAGAAGATCCCTTGCAAAGGCTATGAGTGGGACAGAGGCTGGCACATTTGAGAAGCAGTAAAGTGCACTGTGTGACTAAAGGGAACGGAAGAGGAGGCATGGCCTGGGACAAGTTGGAGAGGAGGCAGCAACCATCTTATGCAGGGCCTGGCAGGCCACAAGCAGGAATTTGGATTTTATTCTCAGGGCATTGAAAAGTCATGGAGGGTTTCAAGGTATCATCAGATTTGCATTTTTAAAAAAAACAATCAGGAAATGGACAGATAGATAATAATAAGCAAATACAGCTAATGGTAGAAGCTGAATTTAAGTAGTGGGTATGAGAATGTTTACTGTAAAATCATTTCAACTTTTCTGTATGTTTAAACATTTTAAAATAACATGTTAAGAAAATTTGACCACAGTATGAAGAATGGATTGATGGAGAGCAAGAGTGGCTGCATAGATAGCAGTTAGGAGACTTGGAATAACCATAGAAAGGGGTAATGGTGGCTTGGACTATGGTAGTGGCACAGAGATGGCAAGGATTAGACAAGCTTTTGAGATAGTCAGGAAGTAGAATCAATATGGTTTCCTGATTGAGTTTGCCTCAAGGTAAGGGAGAGGCATAAACCAAAGATTATTACCCAGTGCCTACTTAGTATAACCGAGTGGATGATGGTACCAGGTACTGAGTCAGGATGTAGGTGTTTCTACTCCAGTAGAAAGTCCATCAGATAGTCCAATAGATATTATATGGGAGTAGAAAGACCTAGGTGAAAGTGAGAGGGTGGAGTGAAGAGTTCAGTTTTCAATGTGTTGAAAACATGAGCTACCCTGGTGGAGATGTCATATGGGTCATTGAAGCTGGGTCTGGGTCTGAGAGAAAGAATCTGGGTTGGAGATGTGAGTTTGAAGTCATAAGCATATGAATGGTCATAAAACCATGAGAGCACAGTACATGGTAACACACGAGAGAGTATAGGAAGTGAGAAGAAAAGAAAGAACCAGCACCAAAGAATCCAATGTTTAACACTGAACAATCTTTGACAGAGAAGGAGAGGGAGCAACTAATGAAACATAAATTAGGCATATTTATGACAGAAAGCCTCTATTGATGGGCTTTGGAAATGCTTCCAATCTTTTGCAATAAATGCTGTGTGTATACTCATTTCTCACATATGTATCTATCTCTGTAGGATAAATATGCCAAAGTGAAACATTTCACACACACACACACACACACACACCCCTCATTTTGAATTAAAAAAAAAGGCTGCTTAGAAAAGCCACCAAACATAGACAGTTTATTTAACCATATTTAATATGGCATTTGATAGGACTGGTTAAATGAATTTGATAGATCCCTATAATGTAATACCCTGTAGCCATAAAAAAATCAAGTTGTCAACATATTCTGATATACAAGGGCAAAAGGAAGACTGACTTTTCACAATTTTGAACTATTTAAACTTTATGTCATTCACATCTATTACCAATATTTAAACAGGTTTGTTGTGCTTCTACACCATACTTAGTAAAAAATAAAGTGACTTAAAGATTAATTTGCCTTTTATTTGAAAGCAACACCAACCTATTTCTGATGGACTTTTGCATACTTATGTTTTGCATCACAGAAATGCTCAGATATTGGTTTTTATGAAATCATGATGCAGAGAATTGCTCTAAATGTGGCAAAGTTCTGAACACTATGTTCATGTTTGTCTAGAGTTCCAGTTATAAATTGTGGAATTTATTATTTTGCCACTTTCATTATTAGTAAATAAATCCACTTCATTTTGTCTACTTTAGATATGTCTCTAGATTTCATCATCACTACTCTCTAACCTCCCCTAAAAATGTCATGGAAGATAGAATGAATCTTATCAAATCTGATGACAATTTGTTTTTCCAATATAGAAAGTAGCAATGATGTTACATTTTTTGTTTTTTTCTGTTTTTAAGAAGGGTAACATTGGGATATGGGTGTGACTATTTTTAATGCACCACATGTACTAAGCTACACTAGGTCACTAACTTAAATTTTCTAGAAATAGTCTATTTTTGAATAATATTAAAATGGATTGCTTATTCTCTTACTAAGAATAATGCTAAGTATATTCTTAAGTCTGTTTTCAAAATTCAAGAAGAAACTTAAAATATGGAACAATGAACTAGAATAAACCTGAAGATGATTCTAGTTTTCCTACTATTAAAATTCAGTTTCTATCCTTTTAAGGATGTTTAGGCCCTGTAGCTGAGGGGCTAAAATATGACTCCAGAAGACTAGGTCAGGTATGTTCATACTCAAATAATCAGACTGTGCTCTACCTTCTTTCATCTATGTCCTCCTGTCCACCATAATAAGAACAGGATCATGCCAAGAACTTCAGTGGAAAGAACACTGGCCTAAGAGTCACACACCAGATTTAAGTCCAAATATAGTTACAGCTTCTACATGATCTTGGGCAAGTCATTTCAGCTCTCTGTGCTCAGATTTGGAATCTGCAAAATGAGTAACAAGGTCTGATGCCCTTTTCAGCTTTAAATGCCTTTGCATCTAAGTTTAGTGGCTTAAGCATCTGGAATTCTAGGTGACAGAAAGTATGGTAGATTGAACTATTGGCCCTGATTCTTCATTCCTTCTGCATCCACACTCTTGCCATGGCTTCTTTGTAAGCAGAACATATTTCCCTGTCTCTTGATTTTTGGGCTTGGCCATGTGACTTCTTTTGACTAATGGGGTATCAATAGATATGACACAAGCAGGGCTCAAAATGTACATTATTTCTTATTCCCCTTCAGTTAAGACTGGAACATTTTATAAAACACATGTTTGCAACAGAGTGCTCTAATAGCCAGGTCATAACTAGGGTGATCATACATCCCAATTTTTCCATGTCAATCCTGATTTACATCTGTTATTCTGGTACAATGGTTTAGCTCCCTTGGCTCTCAAAAGTGGGCTGATTTAGATTACAAATTATATAGTCACCACATAAAATCCTGAAAATGTACCTGGGTAAGCAACAAGATTACTAAAATAGCAGAGCCACAGTCTTGTCCTAGCAACCATCCCCATGTGCCTTCTTTGGACCATGGGGATTCCCAGGGTAAGGAAAAAGTAGCCAGTATCCCTTCTTACTCTTCAAGTGATCTACATCCTGAGTGATCCCCCTTTCCCTCAAACCATTGGAGGAAACCTAAAGTAGCTAATAACTAGAGAAAGTCTGGAATTTCCAATCTCAACTATAGTGTCGAATATGCTTGCACCAGCCATTTCCCTTATGGTAAAGTCTATGAATCATTGCATGATTTGCTTGTTGACAGAACAATGTGGTATGCTTTCTATCATCCAATCAAGAAGGTCCTGGCCCATAGACATATAGAGATACATGCATTTTTAGATTTTCATCATGATCCTAAAGGTTCATTCCACTGATATCTCTCCCCTCATTTCCTAATGCCCTCAGGTGAGAAGTGCCAGGGAAGAGGAATCCCAGGACCCCAGCCTGCTGCTAGTAGGAAGTGTCAGCCAAACAGTCTCAGGAGGCCTCATTTTGGAGAATGGTACCTTCAGAGCCGACATTTCCCCATGCTAGAACGGAGCATGAGAATACCCTCTACAGGAGTCCCAGGATTGTCGGCCATCTTCTGCCAAAGGCGTTGCTCTTCCCCTTGAGAGTCCATCCAATCCACATTCTTTCCATGGCTCACACCTAAAGGGAAAGGGGAATATTATACTTCACAAATGAAATGTTTTAGTTTTTTGGAAGACACCTATTAATTAATCTCTGAGGGGGCCTTTTAACCACAAAACCCTTCACTGGCTTATTCTCACTTACCATAGGTCTAATGAGTGGTGTTAGAATAAAATATACATCTTTTGCAGACTGCAGTACTTTCCTCTGCCTAGATATTGAGAAACAATCAGGATGACCCTAGTGGCTCATTTTTTCCCCACTTTGGTAGTGTAGCAGAGAGCTGGTTCATTTGGACTGAAGTTAACATGAGAGAATAACAGGCTGAACTGGGCTCTGAGGCTCTTCCTTTCTAACAAGGCCAATTCTCTGACCTGGGGAGTTCTCATTTTTGTAGTATAGATATTCTTGGCTCTACTTAATCTATAAATAAGTAGAGCATCATAGGGGTGGGGTCATTCTCAACAGGAATGTTGACTCTGATGCATATAAAACATTTATGTCTGGCCCAAACAATGGGATAATGAGACTTTGGGAGGAGCTACATGTGCTACCCTACTATAAATTTTCCTCTAATTCTCCCTGTTATAGTTATGTCTTGTGGCACAGGTGGTATATTTCCATGTTTTAAAAACATTAAAATTATTTCCTTTCAACTAATGTGAGTAATGGCTGCAAATTCTGTACAGAAATGAGAAGAGGATGAAGTAAAGTTGGTCTCAGAAGTCTTTCTCTCCCCTATCAGAAGCCTCTGTTTTTTGGTAATCCTCTCCTGAGCAAAACCCAAAGTAAAGCCCAAGAAAGCAGTTAAAATTTACTTATACTAAAGTGTAAATGATATTTTGTGAAAAGAATGAATATAAAAAATATACATCCCAAACTTGTAGTTGAAGGATACAAAGTTCTGCAGTAGTATTTTTATTTTATTTTATTTTATTTTATTTTATTTATTTTACTTTATTTTATTTTTAAAAGACTTTGTTTATTTTCAGAGAGAGAGAGAGAGGGGGGAAGGGAGAAAGAGAGGAAGAGAAACATCAATGTGTAGTTGCCTCTCATGTGTCCACTACTGGGGACCTGGCCCGCAACCCTGGCATGTGCCTCAACTAGGAATCAAACCAGTGACCCTTTGGTTCACAGGCTGGCACTCAATCCACTGAGCCACACAGCCAGGGCAGTATTTTTATTTTAAAATGAACAGATCTTTGGATAGAGGCATGGAACATCTGTGGAAATTTCAGGAATCAGCAAAGCTGAAGCTATATTTATGCCTACTATATAGCACACATTCAGGAACTACTCCCCAGCCCCATGCCCAGTCACAGACCATCTCAGAGTCCTCACCACTTCCAGTATTCAGACGAACTCCTCCCAGAAAGATGTTGCTGGAAAAGGCCTCCTTGTCCCAGATGGTAAGTTCTAGGCAAACATTCTTTATATCTAGGGGATACAAGCCACTGAAGAAGAAAGTGTGATTCCACTGAGGGTTAACACTTTTTTTTATTACCAGAGTTTTGTGCTTGGTGGCTTTGCTATCATCAGGGAGCAGGTAGCTGCAGGAGAAAATTCAATCAAGCCATCAGTGAAGCAGTAGGCAGAAAAGGGAATCCTTGAGTACTGTTTAATTTCTCATAATTCCTGGTGTGTGTTGGTATGTGTAAGTGTGATATATGTATTGGATTTCCTCTCTCCAAGGTTCTTAGATGCATAAATCTGGGTTTATTTAGTGGGATGGTTTACTATTTATTTTAAGTGGGTAAATAGTAAAATGCCCACACTCTCTTTTCTAATCATATTTTGGTCCTTCACTCATCTTGAAATGAGAATGCCCCCTGTAGTATACACGGTTTAATGTCCTGCCTCCTATCTTCTTTGGCCCACTTGTGAGCTGACTTGAAGCCAGCATGCTGACAGCTTCTAACCTTAAGAGCATGTGTCTTTTGGCTTTTCCAGTTAAGGACTCTCTCAAGCTGTGTGAGCTGACTCAGCTTATGTTCAGGGAGTCCTGGGATTAGTAGGGATTTAATGTCTCCAGGACTGTCAATCACTCAGTTTTAGAAATTGGTGGATGAGCTTCCCTATCTTTTGAAGGGAGAATGCTAAGGTACATTCCAGAGTTCCTTCTTGCTTTCCCCACTGGAATTATACCCACAGCAGTAAACTTCCTATAACATATTTTTACCAGCTTTCTCCCCTCTTCCCCATCTCATTTTCTCTACTCTCTTACTGGTGCTTCTTGGACTCTCTTCTCAAATAAAACACCTGCACCCCAGGCCTTCTCTACTATGGTCAAAACCCTGTTTTTGACTACAGTAGAGGAAGAGGTTCTAGGTACCTGATGAATCAGTGAGCAAGCTTTAGAGAAGACATATGGGTATGTAATTAGTACATCAAACAAACATAGAAGATGCCACAAAACAAACGGCCTCATGATAAAAAGGATACATTGCTATACTTGACATTTCATTTCATGTACCAAGCAGAGACTACTTATCTCCCAATATTCATTCTCTCCTTATTATCCTTTTTAAAAGAAAAAACTTCATTTTTTTTTAGTTTGGCACAAGATTGCCCAGAATAAACACTAAATTCCCCAGCTTCCCTTGCAGCTTGTTTAGTCATGCAACTAAATTCTGGCCAATAGGATACAAGAAGTAATTTAGTATGAACTTCTGGGAAGCATCTTGCCAGATAGAATATGGCTATCTTGTCTCATGAGGTGAACACCATAACAAGATAGAGGAAACCTCTGTCTCTGATTATCATGATCCTTCCACACCTGCCCTACACACTTTACCTTTAATCTTTGCTTACATGCAAGAGAAAAAAAATTTGTCTTGTTTAAGCCACTCTTAAGCTGGGTCACAGATAGCTAATATTAACTAATATATTTTATAATATTAAACTTTATATAAGGACCTATTCTTGCTCTCTCATGCTCTTTTATAAAAAATCTGGAGTCCCTTTAAAGTCATTTCAATGTTGAAGTGTAACTAGGGAAATAATTTACGAGAAAGTTACTGGCTTTTTCAAAAAATATAGAAAAAGGATACCATTCTTTGTTATCTCTGCTTCATAAATGTTTAACATAATAAAGTAAAAACTATTAGAAGGGATGTTAAGTCAACTCTGTGAGACCATAATGAGGGAGCTGAAATATGCTGGACGCAGGCTGAAAGCTAGGAAAACAGTTCTCTCTATTGTTTTAGATGGAAGAGCCACCATTCAAGGGTAGCTCTTTCTCAATACACTTCAAATAAACCTCAAAGCCATCACTGTCTCATGGATCACAGATCCTTTTATCTCCCATGAAGTATCATCTAAAATGAACTATAACAAAATTACCCCTTGACAAAGCTATCAGAAGTGCCTCCTGACTTCACCGCTGTCAAATTCTTTGCCTCTTTGATGAACACTTCTAGTATTCCTCCAGAGGGTATAGGTGGCTCCTTCTTTCCCCTTTTAAAGGTCTTCTTTCCTGCATGAGTCATCAAAATGAAATGGATGGAGAGAGTGAGACAGAAGGGCGGGGGGGGGGGCAGGAAGAGGAGGAGGGAGATAGACCATGAGTTCTACTTCAAAATTTACAAAAATATCTACTAAGATTTATTTCATTTGCTGATTGAATCAGGTCTTAATATTATTGTATTTTTCCATGTATTATTTAAATGTTTATACCCCATTGGATTTCTTCTAGATAGGTTTCATTTGTGGTTATAAGTTTAAAACCTTCAGTATTATCCTACAACATATATCTTTTCACAGGGTATAAAGGAATAAAATGGAAAAGACCCTGAGAGTTGCTTGGGACACATTAGAATGAACCTATTCAATACTTGCAATATCCCTATGAAGTAAGGAAACTGAGGCTGAGAGATAATAAGTTACTTGCACAAGGTCACAATGAAGTGGGTGATAGTGAATGGAAGGACACAGGAGACTGCCTGTAGGATTTGATGGAAGGAGTAAAGCAAGATAGATTTATTTTGTAAAATATTTTATTTATTTATTTTTAGAGGGGAAAGGAGGGAGAAAGAGAGGGAGAGAAACAACAATGTATGTTTGCCTCTCACATGCCCCCTACTGGGGACCTGGCCCACAATGTAGGCATGTGTCCTGACTGGGAATTGGACCAGTGACCTTTTGGTTCACAGGCTGGCACTCAGTGCAATGAGCCACACCAGACAGGGTGCAAGAGAGATTTAAAAGTTGACTCCATGTGGATTTTTCCTTTACATTCTGTGTTCTAGATCAACTTCTTCCTCAAGACTCACTGAGTAGCTCTGAATATCATAAATCCATATAGCAATTAGCTATACAGCTCCTCTATCCTGGAGAAGATCCTATATCTCTAGGACTTCTGGGAAACAAATCTCACCATTAAGTATGCTTTCAAAGTATGAACTTAGAAACCCGCATCCTTCCCCATATATAGTTTATACTTCTCAACTCTCCTTGAAAGTCAGTGACACCTAAACCTTTAAATTTCAAATGTATAATGCAAAAGTAACAGTCCAAACAATTCAGGATACCTATTCCCACAGTTCTAGGACAGAATATACTTGATCAAAGTCATTGATTTTTTCTTCACCTTGAGGTTGTCCTGGCGGAAACATCAGGTTCTCTTCTGGGGGAATGTAACGTAAAACAACTGTCAGTTCTCCTTTGTACTGAAGGCCAATGTCAGGAGATAATTCCACCTGGCCAAGGAGAGACATGTGAAAAGAAAATGTGAGAATGCTTGTTTTGTTATTTTGTAGCCCATGTTTGTACATTTAGTTGGTGGCTTAAGTATAGCAATCCATTCCTATTCAACTATGTTAGCACTTACTGGCTTAAGAGATGTCTTAGGTATGAGACAAGAGAGGCTGGAAACTCTATGAATACATCTGCATATAACTTTTAATATTAAAGTAAAAAGAATTTGAGAGATGTTTAACACACATTTGGTCAGTCAATAGATACTGAGTGCCTGTGATGCATTGAAGACTAGACCATCACTAAACATACATATATGATAGTTGGGGTATGAGGCAGGGATAAAGATACCACTGAAAATAGCCCCATAAGGTACTTCTTCCTGTTTGCCCATATGCTTTCCTAAGTAACTAAGAAGGGGAAAGTAAGCAGTAATGTTTGATTCACATTGGGCTGCATGCCACCCATTATAATTCACATCATTAAAATTCAATGTGGAAAAACTGGTTCACTGTGACATTGTTGGTGGAAATGAAAAATGGGATAGCCGCTTTGGGAAACAGTTTTGCAGTTTCTTAAAAGACTAAACATATAATTGCCACACAACCTAGTAATTACACTCTTGGGCATTTATCCCAGAGAGAGAAAAGATTATATCCTCATAAAAATCTGTATAAAATATTAGTATCATCTTTATTTGTAATAGTAACACACTAGAAACAACCTGGATGCACTTCATCAGGTGAATGGTCAAATAAACTGTGATATATCCACACCATACAATAAAAAGTAATGACTAGTAATGCACACAACTTGGATCTCTATTAAATTACAGTGAGTTAAAAAGGGCAGTCTCAAAAGGATACATACTATACGATTCTATTTATATGACATTCTTAAAATGACAAGATAATAGGTACAGAGAACAGATTAGTGGCTGCTAAGAGTTAGGGATGGTGTGGCAGGAAGGAAATGGGTGTGGTTATAAAAGAACATGAGGGATTTTTGTGATGATGGAACTCTTCTGTATCTTGGCTGTGGTGGTGGATACACAATGCTACACATGTGATAAAATTACATAGAACTAAATACACAAACACACACAAAGGAAAACTGAGGAAATCTGAATAAAATTGGTAGATTATATCAATGTCAGTATCTTGACTGTAATATCAGGGGAAACTAGGTAATGGCTATGTAGGATCTCTCTGTATTATTTATTATAACTTCATGTTGATTGATCTACAAGCATCCCAAAATCAAAAGTTTAAAGTTTTAACTGCGAACCCAGAGCCTTTGTTCTGAAGGTCTCCTACTTGCCACTGAGTCATCTGAACTTTAATTTTTCATAAGTAAGATAAGAAAAGTAATATGATTTCTAAGACTCTTCTTTCAAAAACCTGACTCTTGAATACTGAGTCAAGGGTTGAGAACTGCTCTCTTCTGAGAGAGGGCAGACTGAAAGAATTCAGGAACTCCAACTTTCACACAAAAGTCAGAAGCCATTCAAGCCTCAGCAAAAAAAGACCAAAAGGAATCCTTGTCTGACTGTCTTTCCTTTTGGTGGTGGTAAAACTTATTAGTAAGTTGGAAAATCACTTAATTATTTTATTCAACCAATTTACCAGGGGCAAAAATCAGATTAGATGGTAAAATAGACTCTCCATCTAATATCTGATTCACCTGATCAGATTTAATTTGATTATTTTAGATCAAATGCCTTGTAAAAGGGCTTCTCTTAATGTTTTGAAGTTGCAGTAAATTTTAGTTTATGTGAGCATCATAAATGAAAAAATAATAATGGATATTATGGCAGATTAAAGAAGTCATGACTTTTTTGGATACTATAGTCAATGAGAGGTGGAGTGTTTGTCCTCCCTCTTTGGATCTGAATGGGCTCTGTGATTGCTTTGACTGGTAGAATATGGCAGAAATGACAATATGCCAGTTTCAGGGTCTGGGCTTTAAGACTAATAGCTTCTACTTTCTATCCTGTAATGGATATTCTTGGGGTGTTCCCTCTGGAAACCCATGATAGAGGTCAAAGCCAAATGTAGGTGCACCTATTGTCAGGGCTGAGTTCCCAACTGGCAGCCAACATCAAGCGTGAGACAACCAACCTGAACAACCAAACCAGGCAAGCCTTAAGATAATTTCAGCCTCACCTTCCCATCTGGCTGCAACCACATGAGTGACCTTAATTGAGAAACACATAGCTCAACCAAGTTACCCCACAAAATAACGAGCAATAATAATAAATTACTGTTTTATGCCACTAAGATTTAGAATAGTTTTTTATACAGCTGGGAGAAGGCTGTATTTGCTTTTGGCTGAGATCTTTAAGTAGAGAAATATGTTGGTAGGAAAGTGGTATGTGCAGGTGTCATATACTAACATATAGTATCTCTATATGGAAATGTATCTCTATTTCCATACTAGTAGGAATTGAAACATGCATTATTGGTATTTATTGATATTCTATTGGTTTTCAGCTTAAATTTAAATATACTGGTGACTTTATATAAATATGGTCATCAAATTTTGTGAAAGTATAAAACAATAAACATGAAGTCTTGTAGCATCATGATCACATACAAAAGAAAACCAGAGGGAGTCATCTTGTACCCTGCACATATCTAGTGCTTGGGGGCATTTTTTATATTCTTGCAAGGAATTTCCAAGGCACCATCTTCTCCTTGTATACCACCAGCCAACACCTGCTCAGACAAAAATTGCAGAATTCAATTCAACCAACACATTTGAAATGCCTTCTTGTAGTAGTTCTTTTAAGGCATTTTGCCAAGTGGTATGGGGACACCAAGACACAGACCCTGCTTTCAATGAGTTTTCAGTCTATCCAGAACACATATAGAAAGTAGCAGCTCTATTCTTCTTCCCTTTTTGAAATGATTCATCAAATTAATTAACGCTCTCCATTCCCAATGAAGAGCAGGATTGTCTCTACAAAGGCCATGCATGTCTGCTCTGATCAGTTGAACTGAATGCTCATCAAGAGTCAGCTTCTTTAGTCTCTTGAGCTCTTTATGCCAGGAAGGAATCTTTGTGGTTCTAATTGTATAATTTAATATTGTATAAACTGAAAAGTACAAAAAGATAGTTGTTACTATAAATATTAAGTTGACTGCTTTAGAAAAACTAAAGATTTAAAAGTAAATTTGCTGTTGGATTATATTTGGGCTTGATGCTATAAAAGACTAGAAAAAATCATTACTATTTAGGAACATTTTGTATTTGGGTTACTTTGAAAGTATTCTTAAATTCTTGTTTCCCTGTGGAGAAATTCAAACTAGAAACTATTCATGATGATACATCAGGGGTAGAATTTATGCCAAGAATATATGACAGAATTTTAATTACTGAAACCATACTCATATAAAATGAATTGTCCCTATATTAGAAAACTTGAAAATGAATGCACATATATTTAAGTTAAAATAAATGTTTAAGAAATGCATTGGGGTATGTATGTGTATGTATATGATTTATGACTTTCTTTATTAATTGATCCTGATTCTCCTGGGATTCTACTACATAGTAAACTCCATGTCACATAAACAATGAAAGTTGCTTCAATTAAGTACAAAGAAACTATTGTGAGAAGAAAGAGAGTAATCCTGATTGGGATAAAGAGGTGGACCTTGTTTGGTCCTTAAAGGATAAAGAGAGATGATGCTAGATGAATATGGAGTGAGAAGAAGGTTAGTTTGGTTCAAGAAGGCAGTATGAGCAAAATACAGTGGGGACTGTGTAGATAGTGTATAAGAAATAGTAGAAAGTAAAGTCTAGTTAGAGATGTGTCTACAGGAAGGTGGTAGCAAGGAAGATGGAAACAAGGCATCTTTCTCCAGAAAACACTAAGACATGAACTTATGTTATAATGTTTTATTAGGAGGGGTAGTGGGGTATTGGGATCAGAAGGGGAAAAGAGGCTCACAAAGTTGTGGTATCAGGCAAAGTTTCATGAAGAGTAACTTTTGCTCAGTCCTACAAGGGGAGATATGAAAACAAGACAGATCACATTCTCACAGATCACATCAAAGGCAATAAAGTGAGAGTGTTTATGTCCCTTCTACCTTCAACCCCTAGGAGACTTAAATACCCAGGTTTTTTCATGCCCATAGATTAAAACCACTCCAGTAGCTTGAGGACTCCTCTCCTACAAAGACTGACAGGTGTTGGCAGGAGGGAGTGAAAGTTATGGGCAGCCATGTATGCATGAAAATGGGGATATGGGAAGAGTACTGACATCCTCCTTTGCTACAGAAGGCCAAGCCATATCAAGGGAGCACTGAGTGTCAGGGTGAGGTTTAGGATTTATTCAAACCACATTAAAAGCAGCTGGGTCTCCGAGCAGGTGTGTGACCTAATCAGATAATGCCTACTATCTTCTGTTTTTTGAAGAGAGAGCCCCTTTCCATCAGAGTAGAAGCAGTATTCACAGTGCATTTACAGGTCTAAGATGGGATGATAAATTATAAACAAATGTCTGCCAAAACTGCCCAATAGAGAGACAACCTTTTAGCTAGATAGGTAATAATTCCACAGGAACTTACATTTATTCTCTGTCTGAAGGCAGAACAGAGAAATTTTCCTTGGAAAATGACAAGCTTGATGTTGATTTTCAAAGGTCCTTGAACCTGTAATAGCACCTTCTGGGAATGCATGAATGGCAATTTGTACTAACAAACCCTTGTTATCTGACTACCTAATATGCCTTTCAGAAAAATAATGAGTTAATACTTCTAAGCAAGTTCATGTTATGCATGAAATTATACCATCAGACTACTTTACAGTATGTTCAGCATCTTGAGTTTTATCTGGGTCTGTATCAACCTCCTGACTGACTTAGCACTGTAAGACTTAACTAAAACAAAGGTAAGTGTCAAGGGAATTCCACTAACACAGAGTCAATAAGAAATAAGGGACTATGTCCAGTATTGCCACTGTGAAAATATATCTCTATTTCCAAAAGCTTGGGGACTATTAATTTTAATAATTTTGATCCTCTATTACTAAAGAAATTGGTTCCTGTAGCTGACAGTTCACTTCCTTAGCTGGAAAATCTACAACAAACATCAAGTCTCTGGGGCTGCTCATACTATAGCTGCAGCTGAAGTGACTACTGCATCAAAATGACTAGGAATGAAGTGACACTGCTGATAATCAATCACCACATGGAACCCAGCTCAGCCTGAAAGTGAGCCACCAGTGAAGTGGGAGGCAGCATACAGAACATATTTTTGCATGGATTTCCATCCCCCTTCATTTTTGGAAGGCATGGTAGCTAAACAAGTCCAAACCTGCATCCTTCCCTCCATATGTGTCAGAAAAAGCTTGGCAGAGAAAGATGACATGGATTAGAGACACTAACTTAATTTTGGGTTCCCCAGAAGTGAACTCTTAGGTGAGGATTCTTATATGCAAGTGACTAAGAAAGTCCTCCAAAGACAGACCAGTGAAGGGGTGGGAAAAACAGGTATGGAAAGGGGAAGGAGCCAAGCAAGGGCAGAAACTGATACAGCAGGAAAGCTCTGGAGTATAAGTAATGCCTCGGAGTTTTTTCCACACTCAGTAAGGGAAATGAGCTTTCAGACCCTTCCCCCACCTCACCTGTCAGGTGTTGGCTTTCTGCCCATGTGGAAAAAAGCTATGGTAGCCTGGGGACATCCTTCAAAAGAGTCTCAGGTGGAGGCTATTGGAAGCAAAACTCCCAACAGACTTGGTGTAAGGAATCCATGGTCATTAGGCAGAGAATCAACTGCATCCCATGGACATTAAACACAATCAGAACTTTTCTACCTTGAGCAGGCTTATCACAAGATGCTTCTTTCTTACAATAATAGAAAGTGAAACCACTCAATGGCAATGTGAAGGTGATTATGGGGAAAAGTTGTTGCTCCTTGAGTTCAGAGGAGGCCTGGGAGAGGCCCAGGAGAGCTTAGATATCCCAACTGCAACCATTTCCAGGAAACTAACTGGAAACACTCTAAGCTGGTTTCCAAAGAGCCCCAATATGCTTTAATGTTGAATTTATGACAGGGAAATTAATTACCTGTTCTAAAAGGCATGTTACTCATCCTTCATGTGTGTCATGCATCATGTCTTAGACATTTTCTACTATGATTCCATGATGCTCACCCATACACACAAGGATGAAGTGATAGGAGATTAAGTCACATTATGTGTTATCCTTTATGATGAGACTTTTCATTCAATTGCAAGAGATGTAGTGCTGTAATGATCAAACATTTCCCATAATTAATGTCACAAGAATGTTATGCTATCATGGAATTATTTGTTGTTATTATTGTACTTTGTATTTCTATCACATTTATGTTAGTCATGGGCTTGCAGTTATTTTATTTTAAATATTTTTATTATATTTTTGTCATTTTTATCCTCAACTAAAGTATACCTCCTAAAGATTTTTCCATTAGTTATTTACACCATGTTTGAGATCAACACTTATAAAATCCCACTAGAAAATTGTATTTAGTTTCTGAGTCTCAGACTCATATAAAATGAGGATAATTATAACTTAGCTCACAATGGTTGTTGTAACCATTAGATGTGAACAATCTTGCTATTGATAATGATCACCAATTGTTTCTGTTGTTGATGCCCAACTTTTGTTTTTTTTCCTGTCTTGCATCCACTCACCCTTAATTTAGTACTACTGTGTCTGGATTTCCTTTGAGGCAATACCACCCTTAGGACCAGGGTATGTTCTGATTATCTTAAGCCAATCAATGTAGCTCACTTCCCTAGTCATAGTGTCAGCTCAGGGTGGGCAAATAATATAATTAGGATTAGGAGAATCAGGCTCAGGGTATTGGTTGTACTATTTGAGTAGGAGGAAGTCTCTTCTCCTGGACAGTGTAGCACAAGGATGGGAGGCTTGAAGCTGTTGTAGTGCACAAAAAAAGGCATACCTGGAGCTAATGAGAGGGGCAAACACTGCATATAGTCTGAAAATGAAGCCAACACAGAGAAGAGCAACCAGGAGATTCCAGTGCCTTGATAAGATCTGAGCATCTGGATCAAGCAACGCTTGATAATCACTGGCCAATAATTTCCTTTTACTTTTTGAGCAGTATGAACTGAGGTTTCTGTCAATTGCAATACAAGGACCACAATGTAATATAATATTACCTAGTATTTATTGAGAGCTTACATTGTGCCTGACACAATACTGTGAGCATCACATAAAATGTGTATTCAAGCCTCACAGCACCCCTGTAAGCTATGTCTAATTATTCTATCAGAAATGAGGATGCCAAAGTCTGGGATGTTAAGGAATTTGCCCAAGGTCAAACAGTTGTGAAGCTGCCATGATTGAACCCAGGAAGTTTGAAGCCATTATCTTCACCATCATGTGGAGTTTTTTTGCCTCTCTATATAAAGAAAAATGTTTGGCTGACTCAGACCCTGGCTCGAGAGGTCTGCCACATTGTGGATGAGGCACAAGAAATTCACACAGACCACGGAGTCCTGTGAAGGAAAAGGGACAGCATGGCTTCTCTCTCAGGGGGAGAAAAAGCCTTAGCCCTTGCCATGACAGGCCTTTATTTCTTTTCTGGGCCCATTACATGATGGTCCTCATTTACTACGCACAGGTTCACTTTAGGTGGTTACCTTTTACAGAAAACAAAGGAGATGATGCCACTAATCACATCACAAAAGAAGGGTATTTGCAAATGCAAAGAGAAAAGTGGTTGAACCAGTTACACTCCATACTAGGGAGTTTTCACATAGACTTTAGGAAGTTACAGTAAGCACTTGCTACCTCAATTCAGAGTGAGGGAGTTTTAGCAAAAGTAAGTCTCAAAGCGGCCTAGGTACATTGCAGGTCTGATTCCCCATGGGAGAACCTATCCATGGGCATGGGTCCTGTCTGGGCCCACACCACGCAGAATAGCCTCCTATATTTGGTTATGCAAATTTGATCTTGTTCCCTCATTTTTAACTTATCATTGTACATGTAGAAAGACTCCTGCTGTATTGAGTTAATCCAAGGTACTATCACTCTGGTTTATATTGTCAAGTTCTAGAACCAGCCTTAAGATTGTTTTTCTGACAATAACTCAAGACCGGGGTTATGAATCTCCAAAGTAGAAAAGCAGATACATTAGCTACTGGTCACTTACTCATGGGAGCCAAGGCAAGACCGCTCCTGCTTATGTATGAATTGTAGAGAATAAGGAACAGAAAGAATGTTTGAGACTGATCTTGCTCTATGGATTTGTTTTTGTCCATGTGAAAATGAATGCTTTCTCTTTCTAATGGGATCATATCATGTATTCATTTTGTTTATCCATAGAGACCTCCAAATGATGAATACATTTTTAGTAAATCATATTAAGAATACATATTATGTAGTTTGTGTTATACAGCCAGCCTGTATTAAAGATTTCCAAAAGAATATATTTACATTTATTATATAATTTCAAAATTAGCTGTACTGTTCTTTCAGATTATCCTGTGAAAATTGGAAGTCATCAGATTCTTTAGACCAATGACATCAATTTGACTTAGAACTTGACTCACTGCATAACTGTTTGACTAATCTGGGAGAATTTCCTACCTTGGGCTGTAGCACAAACCACTCATCACTTGGATTTTCAAAGTTCCATGAGTCAAAAGGAATCTCTACCTCCCCGAGGAAACTGTTATGTCCAAATCGATCATAATGCCAGACCGAGAGCTGCAGCGTTCTTGTTTCCAGTTGGCTATGGCTGATGGTGTACTGCAAGTGAGATTAACAACATCACATTCCACATGGAAGTCTCTGCCCAATTTTAGGACAGGTTAAAAATTTACTTCCACCATTTTTCAGAACAGATGCATTAGTAATATGCACAATCCAAACACAGAAAAACTTTAGTTTTCTTTGTTTCTGCTACAACTGAGGTAAACTCATTTTGTGTTAGACCTAGCACTGAAAGATATATCAACAAAATATCTAGGGGGAAGTCAATAAACTTCAGATATTGCATACAAACTATTAGGGGATGAAGCTTGTCCCCTTTCCAGTTTTACTTGGTTTTTGTTTGCCTAATGGTTTTTCAACTTCTACTTTGTAAGCTTGAGATTTAATATATCAATTCTTCAAATTCTCTGTTTTATTTTATTCATAATGAGAACTCCCAAATCCAAAAAAAAATGTATTGACAGTGAGATACTTCCAAACACCAAACCACATAAAGTCCAGCCTAAGTGCAGGGATGAAAATATAAATATGAATAATATAAATATAGAGAGAACAGAAAGAAAATATTGCTCTGGTAGCTTTTCCTTTTCCAGCAAAATGTTATCCAGGGCCATGTGCCCACATACCCTCCAACCTTCTGTTTGTTTTATGTAACTACAACCTAGAACATTCTTTAGAATGACTGATTCCTGAACTTGAATTTGTATCTATACCTGTTCCTTACTGTTCCTGACATGATTAAACTTGGCTCTCTGCTTCCTGAATTTTCCATGGTACTCTGTTCATCTATTCTGCATGGGCTCTGCTCTATTATAACTGCTGGATTCACCCTCAGCCTATACTATTCATTCTCCTTTTTATCTATCTTGATATCGGCTCCTGCTTCTACACATAACCTCACTAACACATGGCCCTATTCACCAACTTCCTGCTATGGTGGCCTTTGAATCCATCACTCTGGGCAGAAGATGCATAAATTTCCCTGTGACTGGCAATAATGTCTACACTCTAGTCTCCCTGGATCTTTCATACCAGGCTAAATTGTTTCAGAGTGAGAGGTGTTATTACCTGGAAGCCCATGGGAAAAAGGATTTCTTTAGGACTAAAGCATGGGTCATATTTTATCTAGACTACATTCTCTGATATTTATCAAACCTAACTCTGCATCTCCCCTGTTCATTAACCACAAGCCTAAATTTAGCCAAATTCTGAAATCCTAACAAGAGACAGCACATATTCATGCAATATTAGCAGAACAATGGGTATGTACAAAGTGACCTGCTAAATCAGTGTCAAAAATGACAAATTTCCTTTTATGGGAACTAGAAAAAATAGTTTTGCTAAGGGCAAAACATTTTTGGGACAAGATGTGCCAGCTCAGATGCAATTTTGCTCGATCATCTCTACTCAAGGTGCAACTTGAACAGCAGCAGAGAAATAAACGGAGTAAGAGTGGTTTACATTTTTTCATTCTAAAAATTGTTAGGAAAGCCAAGAGTATTACATTAATTTATTCAAACTGTACTTTTCTAGAATACACATAAGCCTTGACATACACATTTTCTATAGTTATTCCTAAACCAATGAGGCTGTGAACAGTATCACTTGTGTTACTATGACAGACTATTTATTTACCTTTAGTGTTTCATTGAATTCTGGATTGGTGCCTGTTCTGATTTTGGTCTTGCGCTTATTGTTTCTAGACTTGTCAGGAAGGAGGTATGACTTGACATAACTGTAGATGATAAAAGAGGAAAGTAGTTATTGGGAAACCTCTACTGTGCAAGAAATAGTCAGGAAATTTATTGAATAAAAGAGCTTAAGGGAATAGGCATATAAACATAAGAGGCAGAACCAAAAAGAATTAAGTCTACATAACGGAATACCTTAAAAACAACTCTGGGCTTCCAATAAGAGAGAAGCAAGAATGAGTGGTGGTAAGGAATATGGGCTCTGGAGTCATGCCAGCTGGGTTTGAATCACTCCCTGTCTTATTAGTTTTGGTGAATTCAAGAACTTACTTATGTTCTCTGTTCCTCAGTTTCCTCATCTGTAAAACTGGAACATTAACAGTACCTAACGTATGGCATTGTCAGGATTAAGTCAATTGACACGTACAAGGAGCTGACATATTATACACCTCAAGAGGAAATATAATCTATTATAATGATCATTAGTGTTGCTAAATATTATGGGGTTATATTCCTCTCTATTCAAATGTGAGGACTTCTGATGAGTGGAGTCAATGGTAATGTGCGAATGAAGGAAAATGGTGAAAAGGGGGAAATAGAAAATAACAACCTAAGTCACAATAGCAATTCTACCCAACACCTTGACTTAAACTATGCCAGGAGCCTCCTGGAGCAGGGGCATCATGACAGACTCAGAAATGTAGATGTATAAGATTCTACCAGAGTCCTGAAGCACATCTATGGGGGCTTTAGATAACTAACCCCTTTCCATGCTAGTCTAAATGATTATATTTGTCTCAAAGCCCTCTGATATTTAGCTGAGGAAATATAGGGAGCAGTCTATATTCAGAATCTATATTCACTTGTCTATATTAAGATACTTGAAAACAGCTTTGCTGAGTTGTTTACCGAACCTAGGTCATCTAGTATTGTATATAGAAAAGGGGTCACATAGCTGGCCTGAGAGTGCTATCCTTAGAAATGCCTGCTTACAAGGTTGGTCCTTGGCTAGCATCTGGGTACTGGGATTTTAGGAGGGTTCTCATCATTCCCAGAACAGATGTAGTTTAGTCACTGCGACTAAAATTTGTAAAAACAGTATGGCTTATGCTGAACATCTGTTTTCTTTGGAAGATTAGAATTTTGCTATGTGACTAGTTGAGTCTCTAAATGGGCCTCCCTGGCAGACATCATTGCACAAGTGTCACAACTTGTTGCTAGAGGAATTAAATGCATCCTGTGTGATTCCACTGAGAGAGAACACTTTTGGAAGGTGAAGACTGAATTCTTCAAAACTTTGACACATATGCCTCTTCCCTTTGCTGATTATGACTACATGTGGAGTCCTGTGGGCCCTCCCAATGAATCATCAAACCTGGCAATGGTATTTGGAACCCCTCACACATTTTTATATCCAGCTCCCTTCCAAGGTGCTATATTCCACACCTGCCCTCTCAGACTGATCCCTGGAATCCTGCAAGCTTCAAAATTGCCCTTTTGAGCTGTTCGATTGGGCTAACAGCTTGGTAATTTTCTCTGGAGGGTTTCCCAGAACAAAAAATTAACTCTTATACATTCTGAGGTATGCCAGCATGTCAGCCTTCTATCTCAAAGAGCTGCTTCTGCATAAACAACAAATATGTCAGTACTAAATCATGTTGACTAATATCTTCTTAACAATCAGGTAACCACAGACATAACCATTATACATGCACTTCAGAGAATATTTAGAAGGGTAGCATAGGAGGAAAGTGACAATCAACCTTCAGAGGAGGCTCTGAATGAAGAGGAATGCTAAGAATCTTCTGAAAAAGAAACACACATACTGACAAAAATAATTCAGTGATTGAAATAAACTGAGGAATTTGCTATGTGCTTACGCATCTGTCCTCTGTTTCTTTTCATCTCCTATGGCCAGATTTCTGCAATTCTTGACAACAATGTAGAGCCCGCCAGTTTTGTAGCAGTAGCTGATATGGAGAAGGATTTCACCACTGACCTTCAAGTTGCCATAGTCTCCTGTTTCACTGTAAACACTCATCATGCTGTTAAGGCTGCTCTGGAATAAACAATATAAAAAGAGGCACTCAGTGTTACACTAATGATCTCTTCACAGAAACCACCTCTTTCATTCAATTATAATTCCTGTTCTTTATAATCAGCAGGGAAGTCTAGGGAAAGGGAAGAAAGCAAACATCACTTATTTTGTTTGTTTTTTTTCTGGTGTTGTGTAAAATTCAAGCCTTGGAAAGGACAGTAAGATCTAAGACCATTAGTAAGGAAGGAAGGAAAATTGCTGAGAGGAGAAGCATTGCCCTTTTGCATTAGTGAATAGCCTTTGTTTAATCATTTTTTTAAATGAATACAGAGTCATTGAGGCATTTCTAATCCCATCTCCTTTGTAAATCCCTGTAGCTTTCTCCTTTTTCACTGGGAGGCTCAAGGTCAATGCATTTGTCAGGATAAATAAAAGCTCATCTTATATTTGGTGCCAGCGAGAGCTACAGATTTCTCTCTAGGACACTTCCAGAGAGCATCCCATTAGTCTTTGGAAAGCCATATCTGCAGCTTTAACAAGGGCACCCCCCAGCAGCTGCGTGGCTACTTAAGCAAGGTAAGACCACAGCTTCCTACACCTCTGTAAAATAACAACCCACTAAATAGAACACTAAAACATAAAATAACATACCAACCTATAAATACAATGTTTTAAAAAGTTCAAATGTACCAGAATAAATGAAGGTTCTGATGAGTCACTATTGACAAGAGGTATATTTTCAATCAAATGTAACAAAATTAGCCTTTAGTGCCAGAAGCACAAACTCTGTATATTAGCAATATGACTGTCACAAAAGAGCACCTGAAAGGCTTTCATGAGTGAACCAACAGTCTCAAAAGTCTTGTCTATAAACCACTGGGAAGTAAGGACTATGGTAAATGCAAAGACAGCTTTGACTTTCCACTTTTTCACATATATACAGTGTGAGGCAAAAGTAGGTTTATAGTTGTTCACATGGAAAATAATACAATAACCAATAAATAGTAATACAAGAATAAACTCTGTGTTTCATATACTCACAACTTTAATTATACTTTTGCTCCATCCTGTGTGTATGTGTGTGTGTTGTGTGTGTGTATATATATAAAAGAAAAGTCATTACATTCCTCCAATTGCTCAGAGTATAGACTACTCAAAGAACAGGGTGTGAGTGATGGCTAGTATCTCTTCTAAGCTTAAGTCAAGAGCAAGAGCAAACCAAGGGTGTTATAATTATAGTCATCCTGCCATGTCCACATGTTCCACATGGTATGGGTACTGAGGGAGGGCTGTATTTGGAAATTACAACTTAAAGAGAGCCACTGAGTGACCTAATTTGTCTTTTCTATACCTAAAATAAAGCAACAGAATTGTCATGCTAACAGCTGTTTTTTCAAACTTTAATTGTGTATAAGTTACCAGGGGACCTATTAAAACAAGCATATAGATCTATTCTATCTCAGGTGGGGTCCAAGATTTTGCGTCTCCAACAAACTACTAGGTTTATAGTTTCTGAACTGTGTCCAGGCATCCCACAGCACCACAGCAAACTTACAGGGGCACCATACATATTTTAAAATTTCAAGGGAAACACAGCGATATCTATCAGGCACCATACAAACTAGTAACAGTAGTTCATAGTGTCAACATTAAATCAAATTTTATTCTTTTCAATGAAATCTTATCTGTCTGAAGCTGAGTTTTTGACAGTTGCTGTGAGAAAAAGCATGTATTGCACAAAAATCAAGGTAGAGTAAGAAATTAAAGTGGTGCTATACAATCACATTCCAAGATTTGACAATTTATGTAGTACCCTACAGATACACACATCCCATTAGCAAGTATTAGGGGCTATTTAAAAATGGAATAAAATATTATTTTTCTCTCAATTTATGTGTATTGTTTTTCAAATGGCTACTAAGTTGTTAGAATACCAGTATTTATTAAATTTTTGACCTAAATAATTAATAAATTGGCTAGTTGGGTATTACTTTTGGTGTAGGAGTACTATGAAAGTATCACTGATATACTAGGGGCTCCCTGAACTGACAAAGTTTTAGAGTCTCTGTTCCAGGTAATGCAATGTTGCTGGTCCATGAACCATGCTTTGAGTTTCAAGGCCTTCAAGAGTAAGGCCTAACTTCCTCATGTTGTATATGAGAACATTCTGGCTCACAAGAATTGTTAGCAGTACCAAGACAAACAGAAAGATCTCCAGATTTTTAGTCTGAAGACTTCCCTACCATTCCTCACACTACCTCCTTATATCACTAAGTTGTAACTCACAACATCCCTCTCTAGCCACTATTCAAAGAAGACACTCTGTAAGCAGGGTGTCCCTACAGATGGAAGAAAATTTAAGAACCTGAAAATGTTGAATCTTGGGAGAAATTTAGGCAGTTGAGGCAATTTTACTACTAACCAAACTTCATGCTCTTAACTAGGCCAATGCTGTAATTTAAAATAGAGATATTTATTCTAAAGTTATCTTGTTAGTGGTAAATAATTTTGGGCCATGTGTTTTTTGACTGATACTCATATTCTAATGTTTAATGAATGTTCTTTTTGGGAAATACTTAGATTTTGATTTTTTTTACCTTTTAAATGAGAACCTCTGGTTAACTGAACACAAGTAAGAAAAAGATGAATGCTGAAAAAAAATGCCCACCTAATCAGATTTCCCATACCATGAAATGTGTAAAGGAAAAGATTGAAAACTCACAGTGTCTGAGTCGGCATCAGGCACATTTAGGTAGGTCCACTTTCTGTCAGATCCTGCTTGAGAATTCTTTAAGAAGTCACCCAAATGTCAAAAGGAAAAAGGGCATTAGAGCAACAGACAGAAATTAGAGAAGCAAAAAGGAAGATTTATAGGCATGTAGATGGGTACAAGGTCATAGGGGCTCCTGAAGGCTACCTCTTGAGAAAAGCCTTGAATACTAACAGAAAAGGGTATTTATTCTGTTGGTAGTGGGAAGCTATGGACAGTCTTTGAGTAGGAGAGAAACCCATTGAGTATGTGTTTTAGGAGAATAACTGGCAGCAGTGTGGGGGACAATTGGGGAGTTGAGAGTATGGTGGCAGGGAAATGTATTAGCAGAGAATTGAGATATGTATAGGCTTGAGGTGATAGGAGCCTGAATTATGGATTGAAGAGGTTTTAAAACCTGTGGAGGGACCAAGGAAGGAGAGGGAAGCAATCAGGAGCCTTAGAAAAAGTCCACGCAAAATTAGACTGAAAAGCACTCTGTGGGCAAAGGGCAAGCAGGTGACTGTCACTATCACACATTGTCCCCCAAACACCCATATACCCTTTGGAGATGCACAGAAAATCAACAAGAGAAAGAAGAAACTTCCAGTGCATGCTAGAGAACTGCTTACTGTTGACAGGCCACTTGCTAGGCTGTGGGTATTTGCAGAAAACCTGGAGGACACTAAGTCATCAATGCCTTCTTCAGTCTCTTCCAAGGAGTCCTAAGGAAGGAAGAAAATATCAGTGATTTGATTTACTGCTTTCCTAGAAAGTGTTTTCACTTCCAAAACCACTTTCTTTTTTAAATATCTGAAAAATCAGATACAAATATCTAGAAATAGCCCTAGTCCTAGGTTTTTCTCTTGTGCTCTCCATTCAACCTGAATTACATCAGAGGAGTGGGATGTCCTTTCCAGTGGAAGCTTTATGGAAAGAACACAAAGTTTAGAATTATACAGACCTGGGTATTCAATCCCTACCTCCCTGATCTCTAAGGTGATTTACTTTGGGCAATGAGCTTAAGTTATTTTTTTATTAAAAAAAGTTGGATCTGTGCATGTATGCATCTGGGTGTGTGTATACCAATAAGATGGGAAACTAGATCTCTAAAGTCTTCTTAATAGAAGAAACTATTTTAGACACTAAAATCTTGTCCAAAATCCCACATTTTACTTTTTTTTCTCATGTTTTTCTTTCCTCATGATAAAATTGCTGTTTAAATTCTAGTTATTTAAGCAATACATTTTATAGTAAAAATTTTCAAGCAATATAGATAAGTATAAACTCAGAATTCTCATAACATATTAATGAACAAATTTCAAGATTTTTAGAGTATGGGATATATATCCCATACATACATATACACAAATAAATTTGTATCATCATGCATACTGTTGTTTTTCTTATGGACACTTTTCTCTTTTCCTTCTTCTCTTTCCTTCCTCTTACCCTGGGTTAAACTAATATTTTGTATTCTTCTGTATATATTACATCTCTTTCTCCTTGTTTATATGAAAAATCTTTGAGTACTTGTATATAACCTTTACTCTAACCATACTTTTATAAATTTAGATTTTATATATGCAATTATGTGCTCTTATTTTTAAAAGTGATTTCATTAAAAATATGACAAATAGAAAATTACAAAAATAATAAATTACAGATTTATGCCTTAATAAGTCATTAAGGAAGGAGAAGATGGTGGAAGAGTGAATGGAAGTCATACTGACCTCCTCCCAGGGCCAATTTGGAATTACAACTCAATTGTGGAGAAACCACCCTGAACAAACAACTGAGCAATAGTGAGAGAGAAGCTGTAACTTTGGACAGACAGAAGAACCAGCTTTGGAACAACCTATCTAGTAAGCAGTGTGGTAGAAACTCAAGAGGGATGCTGGGTGCCCACAGGCAGCAGCACCAGAGGGATAATTAAGTAGCCAGTTGGATCCCTCTGAGAAGAATGGGGTCTAAACCCTCAGCTAGAATTCCCAGTTTATAGCACCAGAGCTCCAAAAGAGCTCTGTACACAGATAACAACCAGCAGCAAAAAGTGGCAGGGATGCAGAGACAGATGACTGGAGACACAAGAGACATTTAAAGGGCCAACACACAAATTTTCATTTGTGGCCACTTACTCTGGGCTCTGGAAAAGGTGGGGGCAGAGTGGGCTGGTGACACCTAAGGAGAGACTAAAAACTGAGGCTTTGGGGAGAGAATTGAGAGAGTAGATGCTGGGATTCCAGTACTGAGTCATCACCCTTACAGCAGCAGCCATCCTACTCAGGCAGACCAATCCCCTCCAAGCAACAGCAGTCCGAGGGGAAACAATAGCCTCTACCTCAGGAGGCATTCAACCCCACCCTACAGTGCTTAAACCTGACTATTGAGTGTAGAGTGACTAGATTAACAACTGAAGGAGACAGCCAGGGACAGCAGATCCCTGGAAGTATCAAACAGGCTGGCTAAGGTCAGACGGGGTCAACATGTGAGAAAACTAGAGGCAGATCCAGACAGAAAAAAAAAACAGTGGTAAATACCAGAAGCTACAGAGACAAACTCCACTGGGTCTTCTCCATGATTTGCAATATTTTCTTTCCTGCATACCTTTTTAACATTCATTTCTTGTCCAGCAAGTTTCTATATATTGTCACTAGATTTCATACTATAAAGTATTTCAATTCACATATTTTGCTCCACCCTCATCTTAGCCCATTTTACTTTCCACCTTCCTCACATCATTATTTTCATTTCAAATTTTGTTTTCTCTCTTGCTACTACTTGTTTCCATTCTGTACTCTTACTATTTCTCCCCCATCCAGACACACAAAACCAATTTTCTTGTCAAGGGTCATCTCACATCCTTTTTCCCTGCTCTTAAAATACCTGTAGTTTCTCTCCACCTTTAATAATCTGCTAGTTGGTTGTGGGTAGGATAGTTGTTGTTACATTGGTTTTCTATTTTATCTCTAGAGTTTCACTAATTCTATATTTCAAATATTAAATTTTACTGGTCCCCTCTCTTACTCTGTTTTTCATCTCAAATTTTAATTTTGCCATCTTAGCATGTTTTTTTTCTTTTTTTGTCTTTCTTCTATTTATCTTTTATCCTGCCCTTTTATTTTTTCTTTCTTTTTCTTTTTTCCTTACATCCCCAATTTTAATTATTCCTCTCTTAGCTTGGTTTTTTGGTTCCTCACTCTTAATATTCCTTCTCTCTCTATTATTTCAAAATCACTTCCCATTCCTCTAAACATCTCTTAGACTTTTCTTTGTTTCTTTTTTCCCTCTTAATCCCATACCACCTATATTATTTTTAGCTTGATCGTTGTTGATACTACTGTGGTGGATCTTTATCTCCAATTTGGCTCCTATATTGTATTAATTATTTACCATTTTTCCTTCCTTTTTCTTTCTCTATCTCACTTTATTTTATTTCATATTATTTTAATTTCTGTTTCAACCTAATGCTATATGCTTCCCTTCTCACACTCCATTCCACATTTTTCATTCCCTTTTTTATTCACAATGTAAATTTTACATTCTCTGTTGCCATTGTTCCAACTCCCATCTCTTAATAGTGTTCCTCTCAAAATAATTTTTGTTTCAGTTGGTAATCTCATATCTGCTCTCCTTTCTTATAACAGTCTTAATCTCTTTATGCTCTTATTAATACTGGTTCATTTGCTGTTGATAGTGGGATTGTGGAGTGTTATTTTTGTGGGTGTGGGTTTGTTTCCTGGACTTTGTGGTTTTGTTCTGGCAGCACCTGCACAACAGCACACAAGACATGGTAGGTGGAATAACCCTCAGGTGGAGGGAAGGACCCACCAAAGAAAGACCCAACAATGATCAAAATGCAATTACATTCAAAGAACCAGCATAAATGGCATAAAGGGCATCATCCCAAGACCATCAAGCTCAGGTGATCAAGGAGACTACACCAGTGAATCTCACAGGCCTCCCACCATAGAAATTGACACCAGAAAGTCAGGAAGTCAAAGAAGATGAATTTAAGAAGCAGAAGCAAACAAGAACAGTCTCACAAAAAAATGGCAAAAGAAACACACAGCCCCCAATCAAAAGGAAAGGAGAAATCCTCAGAAAGAATGCTAAATGAAACAGAGGCAAGTCAACTACCAAATACTAAGTTCAAAGCAATGGTTATCAGGAAGTTCAATGAGCTCACAGAGAATTACCAAAAACTACAGGGGAACTACAATGAACTCACTGAAAACTCTATCAACATGAAAAAGGACATAGAAACAATTAATGTGGGCCAAGAGGAAATGAGGAATACAATTTATGAATTAAACAACACAGTAAAAGGAATCAAAAGCAAGCTAGATGAAGCAGAGCACAGAATCAGTGAGCTGGAGGGAAAGGCAGAAAAAAAGTCCCAAAAAGAGCAAGAGAAGGAAAAAAACACTCAAAAAGAATGAAGAAGGTAAAGGGAAATGCAGGACAACATGAAACATAATAATAGCCACATAATAGGGATACCAAAAGGAGAAGAAGAGAAGCAAGGAATAGAAAATCTGTTTGTAAAAGTAATGATGGAAAACTTCCCTAATTTCATGACTGAAAGAGCCACACAAGTCCAGGAGGCAGAAAGGATCCAATCAAGAGGAACCCAAAGAGGCCCACTGCAAATCACATAATAATTAAGATGGCAAAAATTCAAAGACAAAGAGAGAATCTTAAAGGTATCAAGGGAGAAACAGGAAGTAACATACAAAGGAGCCCCGATAAGGCTGGCAGCTGACTTCTCAACAGAAACATTACAAGGTAGAAGGGAATAGCAAGAAATATTCCACAATGAAAAGCAAAGACCTGCAACTAAGACTACTCTATCCAGCAAGTCTCTCAATTAAAATGGAAAGCAATATAAGGAGCTTCCCAGACAAAAGAAAACTGAAAGAATACACCTCCACCAAACCAGCATTGCAAGAAATGCTAAAGGAAGTGCTTTAAGAAGAGGAAGAAAAACAGTGACAGAGAGAGCAACACAGGTACAAAGGGAGTAAAATGGTAATTAATAAGTACCCATCAATAATAACTTTAAATGTAAGTGGATTAATTGCTCCAATCAAAAGACAGGATAGTTGAATGGATAAGAATGCATGACCCATACATATGCTGCCTACAAGAGACCCACCTCAGAACAAGAGACCTATACACAGAATGAAAGTGAAGTGTTGGAAAATAGTATTCTAAACAAATGGACAGGAAAAAAAAGCTGGGGTAGCAATACTAATATCAGACAAAATCAACTTAAATAAAGGCCATAAAAAGAGACCCAGAAGGACATTTCATAATACTCAAGGGAAGAATCCATCAAGAAGACATAAACACTATAAAGATATATGCACCAAACATTGGAGCACCCAAATATATAAGGACAATCTTGGAAGACTTCAAGAAAGATATAGACAGCAACACGATTATAGCAGGGAATGTTAACACCTCACTATCAACAATGGATAGATCTTCCAAACAAAATATCAAAAAGGATATTGCAGCATTGAACAATGTCCTAGATCAAATGGACTTAACTGATATATATCGAACCTTTCATCCCAAAGAAGCAAAATACACATTATTTTCAAATGGACATGGAACATTTTCAAAAATAGACCACATGATAGGACACAAAACAAGCTTCAACAAATTTAAAAAATTGAAATCATGTCAAGCATCTTTTCAGATAACAAGGGCTTGGAACAAGAAACCAACTCCAAGGAAAAAATTCAAAAATATTCAAAGTCATAGAGACTGAATAGCATGCTATTAAACAATCAATGGGTCAAGAATTAAATTAGGTAAGAAATCAAAAAGTTTCTGGAAACAAACAAAAATGAACTCACAACTATCCAAAACTTATGGGACACAGCAAAGGCAGTCTTGAGAGGGAAGTTCATAGTAATACAGGCCTACCTAAAAAAGATAGAAGCATTTCAAATAAACATTCTAACCGTACATCTACAAGAACTGGAGGAAAAACAACAAAGAAAGCACAGAGCAAGTAGAAGGAAAGAAATAACCAATACCAGAGCAGAATTAAATGTTATAGAGACTAAAAGAACAATTCAAAGCATCAATAAATCCAGGAGCTAGTACTTTGAAAAGATAAACAAAATCAACAAGCCTTTAACCAGATTCATCAAGAAAAAAAGTGAGAGGACCCAAATAATATAGTCAGAAATTAAAGAGGAAAAATTACAACTGATACCACAGAAATACAACAGATTTTAAGAAATTACTACGAAGAACAATATGTCCAGAAATTTGAAAACCTAGGTGAAATTCACAAATTTCTAGAAACATATAATCTTCCACAACTGAATCAAGAAGAAGTAGAAAGGCTGAACACACCAGTAACAGCTGATGAAATCCAAGCAGTAATCAAAAAACTCCTGGCACACAAAAACCCTAGACCAGATGGTTACACAGAAGAATTTTACAAAACTTTTAAGGAAGAGCTATGCCCGGTCCTTCTCTAGCTATTCCAAAAAAATCCAAGAAGAGGGAAGACTCCCAAACTTTTTTATGAAGCCAGCATCATCCCACTCCCAAAAGCAGATAAAGACACAACAAAGAAAGAAAACTTCAGGCCAATATTGCTGATGAAAATAGATGCTAAAATCCTTAACACAGTACTGGCAAACCGCATCCAGCAATACATCAAAAAGATCATATACCATGATCAAGTGGGATTCACCCAGGGATGCAAGGATGGTACAATATTCACAAATCAATAAATGTGATACAACACATAAATAAAAGACAAAAGTCACATGATCATACCAATAGATGCAGAGAAAGCATTTGATAAGGTACAGCACCTATTTATGATAAACACACTCAGCAAAATGGGAGTAGAGGGAGCATACCTCAACATAATAAAGGCCACATATGAAAAACCTAGAGCCAACATCATACTTAATGGGTAAAAACTAAAAGTTTTCCCACTGAGATCAGGAACAAGACAAGGATGTCCACTTTTGCCACTACTCTTCAACATAGTATTGCAAATCCTAGCCACAACAATCAGACAAGAAAAAGAAATAAAAGGCATCCACATTGGAAAGGAGGGAGTAATACTGTCATTGTTTGCAGATGGCATGATAATGTACATAGAAAATCCTATAGAATCCACCAAAAAATTACTACCAAATAAGTGAATTTGTCAAAACAGCAGGATACAAAGTCAATATTCAGAAATAGAAGGTGTTTTTGACAGCAACAATGAAATATCAGAAACAAAAATCAGAAACAAAAATCCCATTTGCTATAGCAACAAGAAAAATAAAGTACTTAGGAATAAACTTAATCAAGGACGTAAAATAATTGTACTCACAAAACTACACGACACTGAAGAAAGAAATTAAGGAAGACATAAATAAATGGAAGCATATACCATGTTCATGGATTAGAAGAATTAACATCATCAAAATGTCCATACTACCCAAAGCATTTAGAGATTCAACACAATTCATATTAAAATAACAATGACATACTTCACAGATATAGAACAAACATTTCAAAAATTTATATGGAACCATAAACAACCCTGAATAGCTGTAGCAATTTTGAGAAAGAAGAACAAAGTAGAAGGAATCACCATACCTGACATCAAACTATATTACAAGGCCGTGATAATCAAAACAGTCTGGCACAGGCATAAGAACAGACAGATAGATCAATGGAACAGAATACAGGGGCCAGAAATAAACCCAAGTCTCTATGGTCAATTAATATTTGGCAAAGGGGGCAGAAGCATAAAATGGAGAGAAAAATAGCCTGTTCAACAAATGGTGTTGGGATATATGGATAGCTACATGGCAAAAAAAAAAAAAAAAATCAAACTCAACCACCAACTTGCACCATATACAAAAATAAACTCAAGATGGAAAAAAGACTTAAATATAACTCATGACACCATAAAATTCCTAGAGGGGAACATAGGCAGGAAAATGTCAGATATTTCACACAGCAATATTTTCAGATACGTCCCCTAGAGCAGGGGACATAAAAGAAAGAATAAACAAATGGCACCTCATCAAAATAAAAAGTTTCTGCATGGCTAAAGAAAACATCAGCAAAATCAAAAGGAGATCAACCATATATGAAAATATATTTTCCAATGATATCTTGGACAAAAAGCACAATTTCCAAAACATACAAAGAACTCACACAACTCAACTCCAGGAAGACAAACAATCCAATTAAACAATGGGCAAAGGACCTGAACAGATACTTCTCCAAGAAGGACATACAGAGGGCCCAGAGACATATGAAAGGATGCTCAGCATCACTAGCCATCAGAGAGATGCAAATTAAAACCACAATGAGATAGCACTTCACACCAGTGAGAATGGCCATCATAAACAAATCAACAAACAATAAATGATGGCGAGGTTGTGGAGAAAAGGGAACCCTAGTACATTGTTGGTGGGAATGCAGACTGGTGCAGCCACTGTGGAAAACACTATGGAATTTCCTCAAAAAACTGAAAATGGAACTGCCTTTTGGCTTGGCACTTCCACCTCTGGGAGTATACCCTAACAATGCTGAAACACTGGGTCAAAAGAACCTATACACCCCAATGTCAGAGCAGCACAATTTGGTTCACAGGCCAGCACTCAATCTACTGAGCCACAGCAGCCAGGGCCAGAATTTTCTAAGATAAAAAAAAATTAATAATACTGGAATTAAGTGTTCTTTAAAGGTTGAATACAAGTAACTTCAAAATCATTTGATCTCATTATCCCTCATCCCTTTTGGTGGTTGATTTTAAAATACTTCTCCTGTATTTTATACTATTGTAATAGCATCAAGTTTTAGATCTCTTAAGTTTCCTGGCTTGCTTTGGAAAAAATATATTAATATCATTTAATATATCTTTCTTCCAAAGAATTCAAATGGCATCATAGCAATTATAGAACTCAGAATATTAGAATATTAGAAATGTATGGAACCTTACCAATAATCTAATTCAACATTTTCATTTTATAAATGAGTTTACTTATACATTAATTCTCTAATAATTTAGTCTCAATTAAGAAGCTAGTTTATTGAGGATTACTTGAGATGTAGAAACATTCATATAAAATACATAGTCAGATTAAATGTAGTAATATTTCATTTAGGAAATGTTTATATTTCTCATTTCCCAGGTTTAGATTAGGTAATGTGCTTTTAGGCAGAATTTGATATCCCCAACAGGTGTTTTCTTAGGGATAATATGTCCAGAATAATCTTATTACCTCCTACCTTTTCTAAATCATTCTTTAGTTGTTTTTATATGTTGGTTGGAAGACTAATAGGAAGAGATCATCATAGAACTTCACATTACTCTAACTCATTGTCACATACAAGTGCTCAGGTTTGGAACAAGATTGTGCCTTTTCCTCATGATCATTAGACTCTCTTCTACATCCAACTTACCATGTCTTTATCTAAAACCCCAGAGACAGACCTGCTTCTTAAATTTACAGTATCCTCTAAATCTTCTGTAAATGACCCACTCAAATCTAACTCAGATTGACTTCGGTCTGGAGAAAAGAAGAGAAAAGGAAAGTTATAAATCAGCTTATTTTTTTGAAGATTCCATTTTTCATTATAAATCTTTCATCTTTATTCAAATTCTTCCCATGCATGGGGAATAGATGGTATTATTGAAGCAATAGTCAGACTCAGTAACTTTATGCTATTTATGCTAACATACTTCCATTTTAATAGCCTTTTGAAATTCCCTTGGACTGAATTACCAACACCGATGTGTTCATTTCTTTTTTTGATTATAGGAGATTAAATGCTCTACCATAAAGTACTTATTTTATAGTTTTGCTCATAGACTTTGAAAAACTTTCATAGAATGCACCCCTAAACTTATAAAAAAAAACAGTAGTCATTCTTGATTTTAAAATTTACAGAATTCACAGAAAAGGGAGTGGCTATAGGTTTATTGGGAGAAAGTTCTATTTTTTAGTCACCAACATATTTTTTCATCAGAGGAACATCTTGCTTTTGAAAATATAAGTTAAAGAACAATACACTAGTCAGTAATACTGTAGACAGTTTACCAAGACACAGTTTACTTCGAAAGAACAGTTCTGTGTCAAAGCCTTGCTAAAATCAATATAGTTGCTTTTAAATAAGAAAGATTTAAGAGAGCAATCAAGTAAATTAGCTTAAAATGTTAAATGAAACAATACATAAGTACTTAGCATAGTGCCTGACACCGAGTATGTACTGAATAAAGAGGTGTTCAGTAGAAGTAGTAGAAATGCACTCTGGAAAGTTGGCTTTAGGCTAGTTTAAATTTTTTCATTTAATAGGTGAAGCGATAGTCTAGCCCTAAACAAAATGCAAGCAACAATAACCACACATTTAGAAAACCCTTTCTGAGCTATCTGGCTAGGAGAGAGTCCCCAGTTCAGCACACAGAATCCAGATTCAGGCTCTATGCAAATATCATCATTAGGTCACAAGTAACTTTTTCATGTTGAGGATTTTGTCATCAATTTAAGTCTACACATGGGACATAAACTTCATAATTATGACCAATTTCTCTGAAGAGTTCTTTATTTATAGGTAATAAAATGCAACATAATACTTGTTTCACAGGGCTATTGTGATAATGAAGTGAAATGATATATTTGAATGTACCATACAAATGAAAGGGGTTATTATTAATATCTTAATACTGCTTGCAAATAATTTATTATTTAAACCATGACATTATTAATCTGTCTAGATATAGGGCATTGCTGATCACCAAATCAAGAAGGGTTGACATTGGAATGTATGTTAGAAATTAGAATTTAAGTTAGACATGAATGTTGAAAATCTTAAGACATTCGTTGAAAGATAGAAGCAGGCCCTGGCTGGCATAGCTCAGTGGATTGAGCATGGACCTGCGAATCAGAGGGTCACCAGTTTGATTGCCAGAGGGTCCCAGGCTTTGGTACATGCCTGGCTTGCAGGCCAGGTCCTCAGTGTGGGGGCATGTGAGGGGCAACCACACATTGATGTTTCTATCCCTCTCTTTCTCCTTCCCTCCCCCTCTCTCTCTCCTTCCCTTCCCCTCTCTCTAAAAATAAATAAAATCTTTTTAAAAAAGTATAGAAGAAGCATATATACTAAACTAGGAGAAAGGGGAAAAATGTAATGGGCTGAGAAGATAGCTATCTAGAGCAGGCGTGTCAAACTCATTTTCACTGTGAGCCACATCATCCTCACAGTTGCCTTCAAAAGGCTGAATGTAACTTTAGGACTGTATAAATGTAACTGCTCCTTAACAGGTAAGTGAGAGCTCAGTGCTGCTGCCAGGTAGAAACAAGATGCGACGCTGGATAAAACAAGGTAGAGGGCCAGGTTCAGTCCATGGGCCTTGTATTTGCCACCTGTGATCTAGAAGAAGGCAGTAGAAAAAGAAACAATAAAAACTAAAACTATAATGAGGTGAATGGAAGATACAAAGTAAGATGGTAAAATTATATCCAAGCCTGTAGGCAATCAAAATGAATGCAAATTGACAATGCTCAGATAAATTTTATGGTACGTAAACTATATTTCAATCGTTGTTAATTAAAAAAAAGTTAATTTCCTTGAACTCTGGGCAAATATCCTTTTCTTTTGTATTAAATGAGCCAATTATATTTCCTACAGTCTTATATTGACATTTGGTTTAGTTCTATAACTTGGCAGTGATACCTGACAAGTGTACACTTAAAATTGGATTTTTCATAAATGTAAGAGGCTCAAACAATCACCTGGGATCACTTTTAAGTAGTTATGGAGTAGGCATACTACCATGGGTCAAAAAGAATGGGCAATTTTCTTGTAAGGCATGAAGCATCCATTTAATGCCATACAAGAGAGTCAGTTCTACCTGATTTAGTCATTTTATACAACAGAGCAGTCATGTTGTAAGTACCCACCTGAGGAGAGGGAGGCCCCAGACACTGCTATGGAAGGGGTGCCAGAAGTGTTTCTACGATGATTCTTGGTGAGGTCTCCAGAGGGGCCTTCAGTGGCAGCCAAATCCAAAGGATTTTCAAAACCATGCTCCTTCTTACAAAGTAAAAATTAAAACTCATTATACTGACAGGAATTTACTTTAAAATCCTTCCATAGAACTATACCTCAGTATAACCACACTTACGTGTATACTCTTTAGGAGGAGGTAGTTGATATTTGGAGGACCCTTGTAAGGAGTCCATATAACTATAAAACTTACTATCTATAATTACTCTCTAAAGTCTATACCAAGAGATTTGTTAATTAGTATAAAAGGCATTGGAGGTAATTTTTCATTCACCAAATTAGTGAGCATTTTACTATGTGGTTAGCAAGAAAAATGATACAAGTACCTGAAACTTACATGAACTCTGTATAAGAATATGGCAAACTTCATACCTTTAGAGTGGTATCCTCAGAGTAGGCTTAGAACTCTGGTCATATGTTTTTTCCTACTCTCAATGCCCTCTCTCCTTAACAATGCCTTACCTCTTTCACCCCCATTTAACAGAAGACCATGCCACCTTTTGCATTTAACAGGCTGAATTATCAGAACATGGTGTTACATTGTTATTGGAATGAAACTGTCATGCACAGTACTTATCAAAGCTCATAAAAGGATAAAAAATGCAGATGTTTCCAGTTTACAGGAATAGGTGATTTTTGGGTGCCTGCTTGCTAATAAATCCTTGTGTATGTGGCAGAATTCACTCTGACTTGCTTTCATTATAACATATAATAAAGGAAAACTCTCCCATATTTTCCTGGACCATTAAGGGCTTGACTATTGCATTACTCCAACTTTGCTTGAGCATTGAACAACTAATGTTGAACTTTTTAGTAACTGGGCTGAGTTCAAATGTCCATGAAAATGGCACCATGGTGAGACAATGATCAAACCTAAAAGAAATTTTTCCATTTCCCTTTCCATAAACAAACAAAAAAAATGCCTTTTAAGGTCTTTCAGGAAGGAATTCTGTCTTTGTTGCCATATATTTAGCCCATACCTTACACACTGAGGGGAACTTTGATAATCTCACTCCAGAGAGATATGGCTCTCATTTGCTTAGTATGCTAATCAGTGCAACTTCAATATAGACTGTTTTTCATCTTTGATTATTTTCAAGTACATACTCCCTGTAGCAGGAAGAATATAGCTCCCAACTAATTGCCATAGACCACCAAGTTTTATCAAAAAACTGTGGCAGAGATCAAATAGATAAATTAGTTTAGGTCCCCTTTCAACACCTTTTCAAAATGTTGTTTGTACTAGGCTCCTGCAATGAAGCCAGACCAACTTCCTTAGTGGCAATTATGTTGACAGGAAATTTTTCAATTGGCACTCTGGGAGAATTATTACTATTGAACACTAATTGGCCAATTAATATTGTACAGTCATTAACATGCAATACATACCCTGGAGATTCAGAATGTGAAACCTAAAATTAACAAGTTAAATTATAGCAAAGGGCAGGTTACAGACTTCCATGTTCTAAGAGTTTTCCATTTTACAAACGAACTTTTCACATACTAAAGTATTAAAGAACATTGAAACAATGAAATGCTGAGAAATGGGAGAAACTGAGAAGTTATTACCTTGATCATTATCTCTCTTTATACTTATTCCTTTCACCATGAAAGAGCAAATGTGCTTCTTAAAGTACTATTCTGTCTTACGTTTATTCAACATAAAATATTTCTCTTTGTCTCTCATAGAAAAGACTAGCTGGATCAGCTAAAATGCAGGAGTGACATCAATACATGCAACTACCTAAATATATGTACATATATACTCAACTCAGTTCTAGGGAATGTCTGTTGGAGAAATAAAGAAATAATCATGTAGATGTTGTTCATTTTGAGGGTATTAGCATATAACAAGGGTGACTTATTTCCTTAAAAATGGTACTTAAGAAGATAATCCTTGTTTTGAGAACAAACTTGACTAACTTACTGGTTATTGAACTGATAGTCTATTGCTATCCACTGATACAGCTATCCAGCTGTTAAATTTTTTAAAGACTTCTGTGTTATTTGTAAACAGCACTACTCCCAGTCTACCCTTCTCCCCTATGTTCCCCCTCCACCACCCTCAATTAGTTTTCCCCATAATCCAGGTAATGCATGGCATGTAAGAGTCCTCAAGATACTGCCCCAGACTTGTGCCAGTGTCCTGCTCTGATTGTTCAGTCTCTCTTTTTCTGGCTATTGAACAGTACTGCTTGCAGACCTTAATATAAATATTTAAGAAATTTCAAATATACCTTTTATCTTATTAGTAAGTACAGTATAGACTATAAGTGTTTAAATGTATCTATCATTATCATTCAATCTGTCTGAATGCCTTTTGGCTCTTCCTTTAAAAATATATAGAATCTGATTGCTCACAGCCTCCACTTCTATCTTCCTGTTCTGAAGCCTAGTTTCTGCCAGGTATCCTGGCTTCTACTCTTATTCCTCTACAGCTGCTTCTTAACAGAGCCTCCAGATCATGAATAAACAAAAGCCAGATCATGTCACTCCTCTGCCCAAACCTTCCAACTACCCCCATCTTATCTAGAGTAAATGCCAAAGTACATGTGATCTACAAGGCTCTGTCTGGCCCTATTACCTCTGAACTCATTTCCTGGTACTCCTCCTTTTGTTGACTAACAACAACCACACAGGCTGTATTGTTCTTCCTTGAACATACTAGGCATGCTCACTCTTCATATGTTTGTACTGGCTGTTCATCTAGAGGCATTGAAGATATTTTAGACTCTGGGTGAGCAAAGACACCAATTTTTCAAGGAGGCTGACTATAGATACTGGAACATCCATCTGGTAATTTACCTGATGAATATCAGTGTTGTTCCTGCCTGGAAGAATTATTTGCCCCAGACTCCTACATGGCTAATTTCTTTACTTTCTTCAAGTATTTTTGTGACCAGGCCTGGCATATAGCATGCCCTCACTAAATACTGACTGACTCAGAAAATTGTAGTTTGTATATAAATGGTTTCCTGCTTGTTCATTCATTTAAAATAACAGTATCCAAATTATATAATATGTTATATGCACACATATTTTATGCAATTTAAGTCTTCATTATGCACCAACCCCTTACTTTAACAGACGTATAGGGGAAAAAACTGGAAAAGGATTTCAAGATTCTACTTTTCTTGATTTAAATCAGCTTGGAAAAATTTTAGTGCTGATAATACCTTGAGAAGTAATATGGAGAATCAAAATCAAAGACTTCTAAAAATTATTTATATTTTATTTAAACCATATATTCATTTAAACCCCCATCATACAAGTTCCACCTTTGAGCCTATTTCCTCCCTTTCCTTCTTACTGTAGTCGTCCTGCCAGGAGCTAAGGTTGCATCCTTGCAACCTTAAGGATGCAAGAGGTTCAGTCCTGATAAAGAAGCTTCTACCATTAATCACTGTAAACAATGTGCACTGAGATACAAAGACATGAAATCCAGTCATGCCATGGTGGTGAAGTCAAGTCCCAGAAGCCTGATGTTCCTTTACATTTGTGTACTTACTTTACTGCTGACTGAGGTTACAGTGTGTATACTTAGAGCTGGTGACCTCTGAGTGACTGAGGTAATACCACTGCTCTGGCTGCTCTTCGGGGTCCCAGGACCAACTTCCTGGTCATTAAGATCTGATGAGCCAGTGCTTCCTCTAAATGAGAAATAATATTCTGAATTAACATGGAAACAATAGCAACCAAAGACAAAGTCAGTGAAAAGCATACAAAACAAATAATCATAACATGTGAACCATATGATATACACTAGAGCCACACTGGAACTGGTCACCAACTATCATAGTACCCTCCTCTTCAAAGACTTTCAGGGGCTCACTAGGTTCAACCCCATTTGTCTGACTCCAGGGTCTTTGTCATTGAGCTTCACCCTACCTTTCCAACTATATTTCCCACTGCTCACCAGCATTTTGCCAGCCAGTCAACTCACCATGCTCATGGTCATGCTTCTACCTCTAAGATTGCTCATGTTCTCCTCACCTGAAATGCCCTATTTGTCACTCTCTGTTTATACACATCTTCCCCACCCTTTAAGGCTCACGTGAAATCCAGCCTCCCCCACCAGACCTTTCCTGTCAATCATAGGCATTATCAACCTCTGCTGTACTCAATTCCTATTGACTTACAGTCTTTGCCAGGCTATGTAATACTTGACTACACAATCCCTAATGGATCCTTATATGGGAGCCTGGGGGCCTCTTTCAACTTTGAACTCCTTTGAGACAGAGTTCCTGACGTATTTGCCATAACATTCCCAGCACCTTCATAATGCCTTGTTGCAAAGGAAGCACTCAGTATATATTTAATCAAAGACTAGGAATTATATATCATTTCTGTATTTAGTGACTGACTCATGATGCACATTTAATAAATGTGGTATAAAAATATTGACATTTGGTAAATGGGCTTGACTCACTTTCATGTTTGCTAAAATCAATTCAATTCCATTAAAAAATGATTAATGAAAAAAATAGTTCCTGCCCTTCAGGTGACCACAGATTTTCTTATTAAATGGAGATTCATAAGTTTATATAGAGTTTTGACAAATTAGTATTTGTTCTTATTTTATTCTTTAGCTTTAGTAAGCACAAAATATGTTGTAGTAAAATATAAGCCCTTAAGTATTTCACTCTCTCAGTTACTATTTTAATAAGTTATAAGCATGCCTATAATAATAAATATCTTATTGTAAAAGCACAGCAGTGACAGTGATTAGGCCTTATAGTTGACTCAAATGGAAAAGAGACAGGAATAAAGGAGGTATGCTTTTTAAAAAGAATGTCTCACTGTGCATGTGTCATTCCTAGAAGATAAATCTGGCAGAAGAGAGAATTAGCAGTGGCCATCAAAGCTGTCAACCACAGCTCATAAGTTTTTTCAAGGCTGTGCACCAGAGCAGCCACCAAAATCAAATATGCCCTGACTGACACTACCAGCCACCACCACCCTCAATAATTATGAAAATATAAGCTGCATTTTCTAGATGTTAGACACTTTCCATTCATCAAAATCCCTGCTTTAAAAAAGGTATTAACATTCCTATTTTAAAGATGAAGAAACTAAGTCTTGGACAGGCTAAACAATTATTCCATGCATGCATGCATGTGTGTAGATACACACATGTACACATACATACCACATCACACCACCACCACCATCACATTGTCCCATAGTTAGTACATGACAAAATCAGAATAAAAACAGAATATTCTTCCTACCCAAAGCCTGTGCTCATTCTATTGTAGTTTGTCTGTCATATGGCTTACTCATCATTTCACCAAAATCAACTTGTTACAACCAAGTAGGTTCTATACTGATAGTGTGAGCTATCAAGAAGAAGATAATAAGAAGATCAGATACCTGGGGATTAGTTTCATGAAATTTGATTAAAGGAAGTATGAAAATTCTTTGGTGGCATTCCTTTGATACTACATAGAAAGCCTCTGGCTTTGTCTTTCTAGAGATGGAACTTCGAATAAATTAAAGTACTATGGAGTCTGCTCAGGAGGGGATTTAAGACTGTGTTGTTTTTATTTTATTGTTGTTCAAGTACAGTTGCTTCCATTTTCTGGCCACCACTTTCCCCCTCCCTACCCTCAATCTTTCCCCCTTTGGCTTTGCCCATGGGTCCTTTTACATATTCCTTGATTATCTCACATATAAGTGGGACCTAATCAACAAAACAAACAAGCAAGCAAAATATAACCAGAGACATGGAAATAAAGAACATACTGACAGTAACCAGAGGGGAGGGGGGAGGGAGATAACAGGGGGGAAAAGACTGTATCTTTGATTCTTAAAACAAGAGAATAAAGTTTTGTAATTAAATAGGTTAAATAAATTCTAAGTTCCTTGGTGATTTTCCTGAGCCCTACTACCTCAGGTACTATATTTCTACATTTGACAACAGTTAACCATGTTCATACCTTTCCAAGTCACTCTGCTTATCTCAGACATCCCATTTAGAAGGGACTTAGAAACCTACCCAGTAATGCTGTGCTGTGATTATAGGTTCTCTACTCTCAGAACAATATTGCCTCAAAAATATCTCTTCCTACTGTTTAAGGTAAAATCTCCTTCAAAATAAGGGGGCACAAGAGTGAATCTTGCAGAAATGAGCTAAGAAGTTATGATCCAAAGGGATGCATGTGGACATTTTCGCTTGTGTTTGTGCTGAGGTTTCTCCTTAACCCAAGTGTGTTTGAAAAAGTCCCCCTATGGATTATCCTTACTGGAATCAAAAGATCTACTTATGTAGAAGCTGGAGCACATGTTGATTATTTGTGATGATGGCATTCAAAAGGCTACCCTGTAGTGAGGAAAAACTTTTGTTATTGTAAGTCAGCTACTGGAAAACATTGTTGCCAGAAGCATTATCTCAAAAATGACATATACTTTCACATTTGTCTCTGACATTTACCTTGACCTCTTCAAAATTATTTTCCTCTGAGTTGGCTGTTTCAGTTGATTACACTTAAAAGGATTTAATGTAAGGGGCAGAGTATCATAAACATTTGGATGACAACTCTTTTAAATGTAATGTAAAATGTGACATAAAATACATGGATCTTTGCAACTTAAATAGGAAAAGTTCCATCAAGTCTAAATTAGAGAAGTTTAAAGTTCAATGTAGAAAGAGCTATTTAAAAAAAATACTTACCTGAGCATATGTTTATTCATTTTTTAGAGAGAAAGGAAGGAAGGGAGGGAGGAAAGGAGGAAGGAAGAAAAGGACGTAGAGGGAGAGAGGGAGAGAAAGAGAGACAGACAGACAGACAGACATCAATGAAACATTGCTGTGAGAGAGAAACATCAATTGGTTGCCTCCTGCACATGCCCTGACTGAGGCAGATCAAGTTCACAACCTTTTGATATACCAGACAATGCTCCAACCAACTGAACCACCCAGCCAGGGGAAGAAAGAGCTATTTTAGATTCAGATATCATGTTACTGATATTTTAATTAGGAAAACTAGAAGTCAGTGCCAACAAAACTTGAAGTTAAAATTTCCTTATGGAATAACTGGCAAGAAAGAGATATATTTATTTTGCTCTAATAGGGCCCAAACTGTGGGGAAATGACACTGTCTGGGGAACTTAGATATTCTGGATTACTTGAAAGACACATATCCAAGAGTAGGAAAGAGTCTCATTTACTTTAGCTTATAAAATATACTTTAAAAGCCTTTTGTTTTATATCTAATTTCATGCTGGCCCAAAACCTTGATAATGGCTTCCTAGATATATCTCTTTCTAGATAAAGGATCCAGTAATAGAGAACAGAGAGTATAATTTAATGAGTTGCCTTTCTGGTTTACATAATGGTTTCCCAGGAGTTGTAGTCTGGAAAGAATTTTCCAAGATCCAACCTCCCCAGAGTGGGCTGACAATGTTGAACCTGTGCCTGCATACTTAAATGACTGTTCCCCTAATAAAGGCAGCAAAAGGTAGCATTGATGTGAGCGATACTAACATTCACTGGGATGATGAGGCCAGTGCATAGCATGCCAGAGACTGCATGATATTCTCCTTGTGGTTTATGAGCTTTCCTAACTTAAATTCAGACCTGAAGTGAATATGTAGGAAAGACAAGCAAGAAGGCTGTAGTTAGAAAGTGAGGCAAGCCTGTTAAATGGTAAAGAGATGCTAAAAAATGAGAAAGAAAAGGGGAAAAGTTGAACATAGCTCAGCCTTTCATTCATTGATGATCCAAAAATGCTATGTCTTTGTCAACAGTCTTATGGAAGATTGGGTGCATTCACCCTTGGCTGCACATCAGAAACACAAGGAGAGATTTTTTAAATCCCCATGCTCAGGCTATACCCAAGACTAATTGCATCAGACTCTCTGGGCATGGGATCAAGGTATCAAGATGTTTTAAACATACCCCCCTCATTCTAATATACAGCCAAGGTTGAGAAACACTGGGATAAACTGTAGATCAGTTTAAATTCATTGATCTCAGATATCTCATCATTTGCATTGCCCTCTCATCTCATACCATTATTTTCTTTATTGCGCAGTGCTCACATCAAGAGAGATGACCTGTCCTCATGACTCATGAGGTGATAAATAGGACACTTCCTGTATTAGTGAGTGCATGTGTTGCACCAGGGGTCAGCAAACCATGCCCCATGGATTGAATTGGGCACACCACCTGTTTTGGGGTAGCCCATGAGCTAAAAGAGTTTTGTTTGTTTTTTTGTTTGTTTTACAATTTTAAGTGGTTGAAAAAGTTAAAAGAAAGATATTATGTTGGGATATGTGAAAATTATGTGAAATTCAAATTTCAGTGCCCATAAATGAAGTTTTGATCTAATACAAGCATGTTCATTCATTTATATACTGTCTATAGCTGCTTTCATGTTTCAGTCGTAGAGTGGGGTAGTTGAGAAAGAGACCATATGGGCCACAAAGCCAAAAGTATTAACTCTCTGTACCTTTAGAGAAAAAGTGTGTTGATTGTTGTGTGTGCTCATGCACACAGGCAGACAAACACATAGGTATGGTTTTCTAAATTTTAAAAAACGAAACTCTTTGGAGAGGTCAACACATCCCAAAGGAATGGATTTTGGGTATTGGGTGCATGTGTATATATGTGTGCATATGTATGTGTATTTATGTGCGTGTTGTACTT